TTGGCTGGAGACTGTTCTTTAGTTAGATAAAGTTGTCGGACTTGGTTGGAGACCATTCTTTGGTTGGGTATGCCACTGGACTTGGTTAGAGATCGTTCTTTGGTTAGATTAGTCATTGGACCTAGCTGGAGTCTGTTTTTGGTTGGATAAAATGGCCAGACTTAGTTGGAGACCATTCTTTGGTTTGATATGCCACTGGACTTGGCTGGAGACTGTTCTTTGGTTTGATTAGCCACTGGATCTGGATGGAAACCGTTTTTGGTTGAATAGGTGTTGGCTTTTTGGCTTTTCGAAGGGTATTTTTGTGAATGTGAGCGTGCCAGCAAGGATCAATCAGTCCTTACAGAAATTGTGATTGCCAACCAATTATCAGACGATTGTGTTTTAGTTCTTTTCAGCCTCAATGAAGAGGACTTTTACTGGTGGCTTGACTTAGGAGAAGTTAATAGAAATAACAGTAATATGAAGAACAATTGAAGTATTTCATAAAAATGAACACTTACAATGGTCCGAACTCAGCCTCAGAGAGGTTTACAACAGCAATCTACTTGAATCTACTTGAAGCTACTCCTATGAATCGAAGTGCAGTGCGGGTATTTAAAGTGCAGGTATTTAAAGAACAGGTATTTAAAGACTGGAAATGTAAAAGACTGGAAAAGAAAATATATGAAGTAAATGACTGATTTGTATGATCTGAGTCCGTCCTTTTTTCTGGGGGCTGCCCTGCTATTTATACTCGTCAGTGATGACCTTCGAACTGCACTTCGAACCGTCGAACTGCTCCTCCATGATCGCTGATCATGCTTCCTTACAAGTAGCTCCATTACGCCATTACTGGCAGTTAAGCTTCCCTCTTATACTTGAATTTGAATATGAGTAACCGTTGAAGATATGTCATCTTGCATCCCGTTATTGATCTAGTGTTACTCAGATCATGTGAAGACCAATATTTATTGCCACGTGTACGATCGGGATTAAAGGCTTGAATAACCTTCCTTTATTACCCTTACTCTGCCACGTGTCGAACTGTAACTGGCTTTTACAAAATATGTAGCCAACAATAGGCCACCGAATTTGAAAGGCTTAGTTGCCTGATGACTGGAAAAATTATTCTATACATGGTGGATAAGGAAAGATGAATTACGCTTCCCCTTTATTTTAATTCTCTTTGCTGAGCATAATTTGTTTGGCGGAAAATAGGATAACACTTGTTCCCTTTGAAAAGAATCCCAACCGAGTGGCGGAGCTCGATGTAGTGGCAAGCCATGTTGCTTTCCCTTGGTTTTAATTCTCATTGTCGAGCAGAATTCGCTTAACGAAAAAAATGAGAACATTTGTTCCCTATGCGGAGACATAGTTTTAAATCGCGGTATCGGGTAACGTAACGGTATCAGTCGCGGAGTATCGGTAGCGGTAGTATTGACCGGTACGTATCGGGAATCGGGTGTCGAGACCGTGAAATTTTAAAAATCATTAACAATCCCTCTAAAACTCAATTTTATGCATTTTTTGACTCTTTTCAGACTTAATTTATCACATTTTTATCAAAATTTTGATATGTAGAAGCACTTTTAACCTTGATTTTGATTTCAATATTTATTTTTCTTGTCTTTTTTCCCTTGCTCAACTGAGAAAAAAAAAATATATATATATTAATATAAACAGAGGTATAGGTGTATAAACAAATAAATAAAAAATAAATAAAACCAAACAATGGCTTAAAAAGGTATAGAATAGTGGCTTAAAAAGTAACCTATCCCCTCTCTCTCTCTCTCCCTCTCTCTTTATCTCTAAAAAATGCAGAACGGTGGCTTACAAAGGCAATTACGAAATAGAAAAAAAAAATTTGAAATGCAAAACACAAACAGAGCATAGAAAGAAACTTTCACGTTGCATAAGTTCTGTGGTTGCCCACTTTTGTTAAAGCTCCACCCAAGAATATAGTGGTTGGTTACTAGTAAATAGTCCAGTAGAAGAAGAGAAACCAGCATACAAAGAATCCAAAAGAATTGAAGAAATATTGATGTGTGTTGACAAGAGAGGTTGGTTTGATTTTGGACTTCGAATAGGAGCCAACAACACAAGGCGAACAACAGAACAACAACAACAAACAGAACTAGAAACAACAAAACAGAAACAGTGCATAAAATAGAGCACAATTTCATCCGTACCGGCTGTATCGGAACTGTATCGCTCCATGTATCGGATTCAGGCCAATACGTACCGGGAATCGGACGATATGGCTGTGAATTTTATTCCCACCGGTATACCGGTCTATATCCGAATCGGCGGTCCAATTTTCCGGTACGAATCAGTATCGACCGGTATGTACCGTATCGGCCGATATTTAGAACTATGTGCAGAGAGTTCCTACTGAGCAGTAAAGCTCGGTGCGGTGACAAGATGAATTGCGCTTCACCTTGGTTTCAATTCTCTTTGCAGAGTAGAATTTGCTTGGCAAAAAAATAAGAACACTTGTTTTCTTTAAGAAGAAGAATTGTAGCCAGTGGTAGGGCTTGGTGCGAGGGCAAGATGAATTGTGCTTCCCTTGGGCTCTAATTATCTTTGCCAAGTAGAATTCACTGCGAAAAAAGGAGAGCACTTATTAATTTTGAAAAGAATTTCAGTCGAACGGTGGAGCTTGGTGCAGGGGCGAGCCTTGTTGCTTCTCCTTGAATATTCCTTAGCTCAATTTTTTTATGATCAGCAAAAAGGAACTTTTATTCCTTAGCTGAATTGTGGCACTCGATGGATCATGGGAGCAAGATGAATTACACTTGCCCTTGGCAATTACTTGTAGCTTAGCTATGATGCACGATGGATTGAGTAGAAGACACTTAGAGATTTTAAGGTGTTGACCTTAGAAAAATTTGAGCCCATACTTTTGCTCACTAAAAGGCCTTGGCATAATTAGGCATTCTTGGAATAAGTACTAACATTCATGAGGTATTCTCTATGACCTAGCAAGGCTAGATATTCTCGGTATAAGTCCTAACAAAGTCAGGCCTTATATGAAAAAGAGCTACCAAGGTTAGTCATTCTTGAAATAAGACCTAACAAAGTTAGATATTTTCAAAATAAGACCTAGTAAGGTTAGACATTTTCGGAATAAGACCTAGTAAGGTTAGACATTTTCGGAGGTAGTGTACTAACAAGATTAGACAATATTAAAAGAAGACCTAGCATGGATAGGCATTCTTAGAATAAGTCCTATCAAGGCCAGACATTTTCAGAACAAGTCATAGTAAGGTTAAGCATTTTCAAAATAACTCATAAAAAGATTATATATTCTTGGAATAAGTCCTAACATGGTTAGGCATTATTAGAATAACCCCTAACATTTGCTAGATTTTCTAAGATGTAGTATTCGTTGGGCACAGTATGATTAGTAAATGCTTGTATATTAGTTTGGGAAGGTGCTCGAACCTTGCAAAACTATCAAGCAATATAATGGGCACCCTTCAAAATTATACTAGTCAAGGAGAATGGAGGGCGTTTGGCCTAAAACCCATATATATTGTTCTAGCCAAACATTAATCCACAACTATAAAGTGAAATAACATAAGACTTTCCACTTCTTCTCATTGGGCTTAAAGAAAATGAAAGCTTTTGGGCAATTACGGGGAAATAAAAATCACCACAGCAACATATGGGTTACGAGGAAATAAAAATCACCATAGAAATATATGGGTCCCAACACAATCACATGACACAGTTATGGATTATCACGCGTAAGGCCATGGTCAAACAAAACAAGAGTATTATATGTGGAGTACAACTCAGCGTGAGATAAAATCTTATTGATATAAAAGTCCTAAACAATTGGAGATTGTTTGGGAAAAACTTCTAGAGCACTTAGACTACTTATTAAGCAAGCAATCAACTTTTATAACTAGACCCACACCCCATGGGTAAAGATACGTTATTTTCTCTATTTAATTTGTTCATTAAATTTTTTTATAGTATAGAGGACTATAACTTGAGCGATGGAAGACTCCCGACCGTTCAACAGTTAGAGGTGTTTTTTTTCTTCTTATAGATGGTAATCACATAATAATTCTAATCATATTTTTCGTTAGGTTTCTTTATCATTAACTATAAATTTTTTTAATGTCTGTGTACACAAACAATTTTGTTATTTCAAAAATTTCTCTTTTTGGGGGCGTTTTTCAAGGTTTTATGCGTCACTAATCATAATAGGTTGTTGTGTCTCATTTTATAAATTAAAGTTCACTTATTGCACGTCACATTAATTTGTAATAAAAAGGGACTTATGCATAGATTCTAATAGGTGGACTTATTGATCGATAGGTTGTTTGATAATTAGGAGTTTTTGCAAAAAGAATGGTTACTAATTGTTAGTTTTAAATGACAGTTTGAAAATTTTGTTACAGAAAAATATTGTTAATTGTTAGTTTTTAGTGACAACTTTTAAAAACAGTCACAAAAAATGTCACTAAATGTCGATTTTTAGTGACACATTCAGAAAATTGTCACAAAAATCTTTTTTAGCAACAATTATGGTAGAACCACCTTTCAACGATGAATTGATAATGACAATTAAGTTTACCTATTTGGACCTGCTGGTAATTTACCCTAATAAAAATTAAAAATAATAATTTGTATAACATTTTCATTTTATACAAATATATAGTTGCTACGTAAATTTAAAAATTGATTTTAAATGAAACATTTTATAATGTTACCACACAAGTTTTGCCAAATAGTCAAAAACTCATTGGCGTTAGCTTCTAGTTTTTATCATTACTCCAATCAGAGTCTTAACAGGACATCAAATCTAAAAATTTTAGTGCATTGCTTGTAATTAAATAAAATTGATCCATATGGGCTCTGCCGGAAATAAATATCTTCCACCCGTTCCAAAAACCCTCCTATTTTTTCTTGTAACAGAAAAAACTGCCTCTTGTTTCATCATCACATCTTAAATTGTTCCCTTTTCAATATTATCACTGCCTGCCTCTAAATCTGTCTCACTTTGGTTGAAAAGAATAGAAAAGAAAAGAAAAGAAAAGAACATAAAATTCTTTCAAGTCTAACATCTCAACCAAACAAACAAGGAAAACTCCCTTCCCTTTGCTTTCACTTTCCCACTTTTCTTTCTATCTCACCAATTTGCAGAAGAGAAAAGCAGGGAAATTTTGTCCCTTCATTCTCTGTTCTCAATCAAAGGAATGAAAGTTTTTTAGTGTTTTTTTTTCCTTTCATTTCTCTAACTTGTCCTTCTTTGACTTCCCTTCTGCCCAAACCAAACACAGGATTGGTATATATACAGCCCTTATTATATATATATATATACACACATATATATAAGAAGATAAAGGATTGGATTTTTTTCTACGTATGGAAGGGAAAGGAAAGAAACAATGGAAGAAAGTTAAACAAGATCAGCTGATCGATTACCACTCCTTGCCTGGATATTTAAAGGACAATGAATTCATTTTGGGTTATTACCGATCTGAATTGCCATTGAAGCAGACCTTCCTAAGCAACTTCCGCATTCACAATGAGACTCTAAATGTTTGGACGTAACGATTCTATCACCCAAACTGCGTAACCTTGAATTATCTCTGTCTTATTCTATTTCAATTTATTTATTTATTTTTTTAAACTTACGTACATATTCTAATATATCTTATTACTTAATAAGTCATGTGATAATTAACGACGTTTTTATAAAAAAGTCATTAATTATTAGTTTTTTCTCATAGAAAAATGTTGCTAATTATTAATTTTTAGTGATAGATTTAGAAAAGTATCACAAAAAGTCACTAATTATTAGTTTTTCGCTGCAAATTCAAAAAAATATCACTAATTGTTAGTTTTTAGCGATAAGTATAAAAAACATAAAAAAAGTTACTATTTTTTAGTTTTTAGTGATGATTTTGTTAAGACCAATTTTCAACGACGAATTGATAATTGTTAGTGGAATTAAATCCAACTATTAATAATTAAAAATAAATACTTAGTTCTACTTCAATTTGGAATTTTTATTCAGCAATGCTAGGTATCGTGAAAAACCTTTCATAAAAATAATCATGAAGGCTTTCTGATCCTTGGATTACACTTAGAATAAAGCACCACACACTAATCAAGGTAATCCAAGGATCATAAATCTTTCATGAATTTTTTTTTATGATCCCTAACTTTTCTCATTTTTATTTTCGTATTTTTTATATCATCTTGGCATTGAATCAAGGGATTTTTTTTTTTTTATTGATAAATCCTATTTACAGGTGTTTTAACCCAATAAGTCTACCAAGAAAAATTATAATATAGTTAGTCTCATGTATTTACAATTTTATTCGATAAGGTTATTTTTTCCTGATTTATATTGTTTGTTCGACTATTATACCCTTATGTTTATCAAGGGATTTTTTTTTTTATTGATAAATCCTATTTACAGGTGTTTTAACCCAATAAGTCTACCAAGAAAAATTATAATATAGTTAGTCTCATGTATTTACAATTTTATTCGATAAGGTTATTTTTTCCTGATTTATATTGTTTGTTCGACTATTATACCCTTATGTTTATTGTTAATATGTATTATATGAAAAAAAGATATACACATTTCATTTTTATTACTACCTCTATTTTGATAGTTACCATTATTCACATTTTTCTTTTTGATCAGTTTCATTCACATTTGTGGTATTGTTTCATTGTGCTAGGGTTTCGAAACTCTCTATTTGGTAGGGTTTCCAAACTCTAATTTACACATGGTGGTGAAATAATACTATGTTTCTCCATTATTGAGGTGAAACTTTATATTCCTCCATTGTCACTTTGTGTTCGAAATTCTATGTTTGTCCATTGTTACTTTGTGTTCGAAACTTTATGTTTCTCCATTGTTGTAAGTCGAAACCCTATTTATGTCCAGTCAATTTTATTACAAATATATTCTACGAAAGTGGATTTGGTTTGATTTGGATTGGTTGAATGGTGAAATTGCATAGATTGTTAATGATAGTGATACTGATAAAGATGATGATGAATATGAGGATGCAGGTGATATTTTTTTTATTCTTAGAGTGATTGAACTTTTTTTTTGGATTTCTAATTCTATTGCTGCCATTGTTTCTATTTTTTTGCCAATCAATGTGAATATTCACATTTCACATTGTTTCAAAGTCTGAGAAATAAGTGTTGAAATATAGATATGGACATAATTATATATTTTGTAAGATATAAATATTCACATATTATTGGTTATTTGTTACTATACTTGTTGTTTGAACAATCATTTTTTGTTACTATTAAACTATTAAAGTATTCATTTTTTTTTTCTTTCAATTTTGTTTCATGTTGCAATGTTAATGTTCGCAATGGCATGAATTTAATTTTTCTAAGGTTAGTTGCATATTAATTGTAAATTGTGAACATTCACATTGTATTTTGATATGAATTTTTTTTTTAAAATTTTTTTCGAAAATTAATTGTATTTTGTTATTTTTTTTACTATGCTTGTTGGTTGAACAATCATTTTTGTTACTGTGGTGATGAGGTTGGAAATACTTTTTTGATCCACTGGGATACTTGAGATCCTCAGGTAGTGACCTGAAAAGAATGAGCACTGCGGTCGGGGGTGCCAGAATTAGCACTCTGACGGATAAGTCAGTGTATACTCTCTTGGTTACTTGTACCTTAAGTTAAGCGTACTAGTTCTCACATATATCTCTTTGGTTATTGTCCTTCTATTTATATACGCTCCTAGTCCTCAAGATAGGGCCCACTATTAATTCGTCGTGTGATTGCTCACTCGGCCCTTCTTTCGTCGTATTCCAACTTCCAATCGGCCCATCGTTCAACTGGCTTTATGGCCGACTAATATATTCAGCATCCAAAATGTACAAGACGGGGGCGAGTATAATATGTATCGATTGTCTAAATGTGTATTCGGCTTATCTGCGTCCCCTTTTATCCGGCTCCCACAATTGCCCCCTAAACACCCCACTAACATTAGTTAGTCGGCGTGTTTGGTTTCGAACTTGAAAAGTCAAAAATTCGGCGGTTAACCTCATTCCAACGTGTGTCAAAACGCACACGTTTTCTAGTCATCATTACAAATTCCCGCATCTTTGTACGCATCCTCCATTTAATATGAGTTAAAACTTTGTCTCTTCGAATGTATACTCTGAACACTTAACGTTTCTGGCTCGCCTTCTAGTTCAACTTCTTCACTTCGCGACCTCTGCAACTTCCTACTGTCTCTCATTATATATTTTGCTTCCTTTAAGTTTTCTTCTCATTCACTCCCAATACCATTTCCTTGTTTACTTTCAGTTTTGCATAATCCTTAGGCTGGCCGTGATGGCAAAAAATTTGAAAGAGCTCCTTTCTACGGATCGAATTTCCGGCTTCCGACGCCACTATTCCATCCCCGACAACATCCATCTGTCACCCGTGGCAGACAACACCACTAATATGGAGATGACCAATGAGAGTACAATCATCTTTCCTCTCCTATCGATTGCTGAGGGCGGAGTCCGTTTTCCCTTTCACCCATTTTTAAGAGCCGTCGTTCGACACTAGGGTCTAATCCCTTCCCAGCCTAACGTGAACATTGTCCGCATCATAATGGGGATTATAGAGTTGAACTGTCATCTTAGGATTAACTTAGGTATACCTGCAATTCAGCACTGTTATGCCTTAGCCAAGTTTACTGGCCGGCTGGGACGCTATTTTCTCAAGGCCAAAGATACCGATCATCACCTAGTGACTATGCCTTCTAGCTCTAGCAAGCGTGTTGACGACGTGATATTCGTTGTCCGAGGCAACTGGGAATTCGGCGAGGGTGAATATTGCCTAGATCTTGTGCCAAGTCGAAAAGGCGAACCAGGTGGCCGTATAGCTCACTCTAGTTTCTCTGATTACCTTATTTGTATTCGACTTTGCTTCTATGTGTTTACCATTTTGTTTATGCAGGTAGCAATTTGAAGAAAGTGTTGGTTTCAGCCGACGACGCTGTACTTGCAGTTATTAAAGTTGCTCTACAGTTCATTGGCCATCCAAACTTGCAGAAACAAGGGAGGGCGGCCCACATTCTTTTGCGATACGCGTTGTCTTATTCTATGTTTTTGGCGGTAAAACACATTCCAATTCTGAGTGGTGAAGACCATCTTACCGCCCTTATCTTCCCTAGCTTCAAAAACATAAAGGAGGTTGGTTTAGAAGCCTCTGATTTGGAACAAGAGGAAGAATAAGCAGCCGATCTGGTCACCGAGGACCTGAACCATTTGAGAGCCGAAATAGATGAAACACTTAATTCGACTTTTGAGGAAGCCAAATTCAATTCGTCTGACCCTTCGCCCGCCTCACGCCATAAGGACTTTTTCGAAGACATTTTTACAAACATAGAGGACTTGCTCGGCTCTTACCCTGACAAAATGGCCGGTGAGTCTCTCTCCCAATTAGCTAAACAGAGAAACGCTGAGAGGATGGCTGCCTGAAGAAGAGCTGAAGCAAGGCGAAACCAACCTCTGCCACCTTCACCTGACGCCAGGGAAGAAACTCCACCCGTTCCTGTTGAAGAGGTGGTTCAAAATGAAATGGCCAAAACGGAAACTGTTGTCGATCAACAGGACGGTCAAGTGACGGAGTACAGGGGTGAAAAGCGCCCAGCCGATCATGAAACTGTTTATTCGGAAGACCTAGTGGACAAACGGCCACGCTTGGAAGAATCAGACTTGGTTGTGCCGTTCATAGTGCAACCAAAGATAAAAAACATGCCGGTTGGCACCGATTCATCGGCTAAAAGAGACCCGGCAGTGGCCTTGAGCCTGGCTTCCTCCATTTCTCTGCTGGCTGACAGAGCAACTTTTAGGGCGGAGGCCGATCTGCTGGCTATCGTGTTAGCCACTCAATCGGTGATATTGGTACATAGTCCTTTTCAGCTTTGCAAGGTTAAACAGGAGTTTCTATATAAGCTTACCGGTCCTTCCTTTTGTAGGCGGCGGGGAGAATAGCCGAGATTGGACGTCGCCAACATGACGCAATCGAACAGATCGACTTTCTTATAGCCGAACTGGAAAAGGAGAAGGGGAGAATAGCTGAGGCCTCTCTTCGAGCCGAGTCTGAGGCCGCAAAAGCGGCGGAAGAGAAAGCTAGGGCCGATGCAGAAGCAAATGAGGCCAGGACTGCTGTTGCACTGAAAGTGGCCGCTGAGGAAAAGACGAAAACGAATGAAGAAGCGCTCAGACTGGCCAACGAGATGATTGCCAAGCTGGAGGCCGACCTGGAAGAGTCGAGGCAGGCAAAGGCAAACACCGAGTTTGCGCTTTCCGAGTCGTTCCAGGATGGCAAGAATGCGGCATTGGCGGACTACGTCGAAGAAGTGCCGAAATTCAAAAATAAGGGGTTCAAACACGGCTGGCTCAAAGCCTTGGCTGCCGTTAACGTGATATCGGAATAGTCGATTCCGTACGAGCAGGTAGACGTTAAGCTGCTGGAGTCTGACCTCGAAGATAGTTGAATATTTTCCATTTTGCTTTTGGTATTAAGCGTATGTAGATTTTACTGCATGAAT